ATATGTAATTTCAGTGGGAATATGTCTTCCTACGCACTAGTGCCAAAGTTCTCAAGCTTTACTGACTATAAAAAAGTGATCCCAAGTTTTATCTCACTTCTTCGATGAGGGTGTCCCAACAAACCACTGGCAAATATTTCTTTTTTATATTCAAGATTTAGGGATGATTTTACCTCGACGAAAATGTCGACATAAGTTTATACAGAATGTATACCTGTAATGTCAGTATTCATAAAATTTATTTTATAAAAAGTGCTTAAAAAATTTATATAATTTATTTTAAATCCAATAATTTTACTATTTTTTTCATTTTATATCTTATGATAGTTTTATTGTTTTCGAAAGATAGAATGAATGGAAAAATGTATAATTATTATAATTTTCTCTTGAACCAGAAATAGAATTATCAAAGCTCTTTTGATAAATTAAAGATTATAGACAAGAGGTTTGTTAAGAACACAAACGCTGGATGATTTAGTATTGAATCTTGATGAAATACATAGATAGTTTATTTTTATTTATTTTGAATTCAATCCCACAAATAAACCAACAAGAGATGAAGTTGAATCGGAGAGTAACACAACATTGCGAAAAGGACAGACTCGATCTCTCGACCCAGCAGCGGGCTGAGGTAGGTCAGTGAACGCGACTGCAGCAGGCTACCAACCAGCCAGCCAGCCCCGACAGGAACACCCTCCCGTCCGGGGTAGCAGCCCGCGACTCGTTCGCTCAATATCTGGTGAATGCGTTGCGAGAGCGAGACGAAACCGAAGTGGAAAAGCAGAAAGATGAAAAGAAAGAGAGAGAAAGATGAATAAAATTCCAAGCAGCAAGCTGAGAGAGAATGGGAGGGATGAGAGGATGGCGATTCTTATATTGCGGTCACAGAGGGTTGAAACGAAGTATTTTGCTTTCCGAGAAAACTTATTTCTATATATTAAACCGATTAATCTTCCGAAAATAATTCCGCGATAGTGGTTTAATGACTGCGAATTCTTTGCGTCGCAATTACGATCCTTAATGAGAATTAGTAATTCCGGAGTCTTCAACTTCTGAGGGCTTTAAAAACTATCGCCGACACTTCCTCTCGCGTGGAACTTCTTCTCAACGAACTTTTAATGGGGTTGGTGGCGAGGATACTCGAAGTTGAATGTTAAAAGTGGCGAAACGAAATAAAGTTTGATCGAATTTCTAATTTTTAACGTTGTATTGTATCTCATTTTAAATCTCTAAAAAAATTTCAGATTAAAATTCTAAAACATAAAACACACGCATATATAAAAGACACAGGTATATATACATACACAATTTTAATTTATATTTTAGTAAAATTTTATTAATTTAAATTTTTAAAAAATAATAAAATCTTTCAACATAATATATACATAAAATACAATCTTTCTTTAAATCTCAAATCTCTCCACATATAAGAAATAATAATAATAATAATAATAATAAACTGTCAATAAATTGAATGAACGATTGTTTAATATTCTAAAATTAAAAAAAATATTTTCTTGAAATTAAAATGAGTTTACTAATGGTTTCTAATTTTAACGCACGTACATCTGGCAATAAACATGCAATGCGCAATATTCTAATCAAAACGTAATTTGTACAGCGAGTTCTGTAAATCGTGATAGAGTTACGAAATCATCTCGATTTGCGGTGCGAAACTATGTCTATTGTGATTCATATTCGTAACGCGTGTACGCATTACATATAAATTAATTGCAATCTGGTACAATCAGATTACTTGCAATCTGGCAGCTGTACTTCGCAATATATAGTTTCCTATAGAAGATTTTATATAAAGTAATGGATATATTTTCAGATATATTAAGTAATTTAACATAAGTCACATTTTTAGAACATAAATTATATATGAAAATAATTTGCTAATTTTTTTTAATCTTTTGCTATTTTTTCAATTTGCTTTTTCCTATTTGCTTTCAAGTAATCTTTTGGTCCATCTATTAAAGTATTATAAAATATATTTAAAGATTAAGCTATCAAGCCACTATAAAAGTAGCGTATACATAAGTTAAAGCAAAAAATTAATAATAATTAAAAATATTGAAATATTATTATAAATATAATTAAAAATATTAAAATTATTTTCCATTTTTTTGCTACTTTTCACTTCCAACAATGTCTTTTTTACTCAAACTTTTAAGATAATACCAAGAACAAAATACGACATTTAAGAGAGTAAAGTACATTAAAGAAATTAGTTGCCCACATAATTGTAACATCAGAATGTTCTTTGAATTAGTTGCTTTTAAAATATCATAAATATTTAAGATCTTAAATTTTTTGCTCGCGAAATAAGTTTAAAAAATTTACATTTAACTTATTATATAAATCTGCCATATATACTACTTTTATAGTGGCTAATTTAAACTATTTAGTCTTTCGTGACTTTTTAATTGAAACAACAAATTATTTTTAAAAGCAAAAAATAGTAAAAAATAGTAAATTATTTTCACATATTATTTATTACTTGTTTTAATAATTTTGCTTAGACAGTTTGATATATATCTTATGTTTTCATATCTTATTCGTAAAACAGTGCTTTTTTCAACAAGATGAAACATGAAGTATCAATTGGGACCGGCCACAGGTGTAAAATATTTTTGTTAGATATTTTATGAATTTTGCAAGCGATGCCAATTTTTAGTTGTGCTTTTACAAACGAACGCAAAGTATCGATAAACGCGCGAGAGAGGATAAGCGAAAGAGTTGTTGAATAACGAAAATTCCACGGCATCGCGTTGTTTTCAAATATCTCTCTTTTTCTCTTTTAATATCGCAATGCATTTATAAAATGTTGGTATTTAAGTATCTATGTGTGTTTATTCATTTTTGAAAAAATCTTTGAAATTTTTTACTACGAATATAGTATAGAAGTATTTTAAAAACGAGTGACATTTAAAATATCTTTGCGTAGGATTTTCTCGACAATTATTGCAATTTTCTGTTATGATACATTTACATTCTGTCGGAGCAATTAAAATAAATTACGTTAAGAACTTATATATAGACTTTTCATAACGGCATTTTATTTTAAAAAATAGTCATTTTTATAAATCGTTGAATTTTTATAGAATTACTTTCATTAAAAAAAGAACTTTGTTAAATGTTTAAATTTAGACATAAAGAAAAAAGAACAAAAAGTCTCTGTAATATACTCATAATACTTATTCATTCATAGAATTTTATTTTATTATTTAATATTACTTACGATTTTATTTTATTAATTCAAAAATTATTTAGAAAATTTTGACATGTATTATACAGAAATTTATTATTTAGAATTGTGATATAGATTTATAAAATTATTTGTAGAATTTTATTTTTTCATATAAAGATTTATATAGAATCTTATTTATATAGAATCTTATTAGTATTATTTAGAATTTGATAATATTAATTAGATTCACTTATATTTTCTATGTTAGCAATTTATTTTATCATTTGAAAATTATAAAATTTATTATAGAAAATGAGAGAGAGGGATCATATGTAGTTATTTTATATTTCATTCAACATTATTGGCATTATCGCCATGTAGAGTATAACATGATGCATTGTTGAGGATGATCTATTACTAGATTACATGATCTATTACTAGACGTGTTCATACTTGGCTCGCAAACAACTAGTAAGCTCCACTACGCTACTCTACGGATTACATGTCAGAATTAGAAACACGACTTCCCGACGTTATTTTCACGAGCGAAACGATTGGACGTAACTTGAGAGAGAAGAGAGAGATAGAGAGAGAACTGTCGCGAACTTTCAAGCATGTCGTTTTGAGGATGCGAGAATTGTGAGAAATGTAATATTGCGCCAGAGTATTAAAGAGGATGCGAAACTGATCGAAATGCAAGTTTATTTTCATGTCTATGATAAACATTTTACTCTAACCGTAAATTTTCCGCTTGTACTTGTGCTATTATTTACGAGATGAAATTAATTAATGAAATCGATGACAGCCGAATTCTTGGATAAATATTGAAAATCTAATTTAGCATTTGAAATAAACGTATGAAAATATTTATTATTTAGAGAGAATAATAAAATTTTTCAGTTTTTTAAGTTTCTTTAAGATTGTTGTTGAGAGGATGCAATTTTGAACTTTTATTGTTCTTTATTAGATATATTGCATTTTTCTTACAATTATAATTTGATAATTATTTTATTCTAGAAGTATTGATATGTAGAAAATATTTAATATGTAGAAAATATTTAATTAGATATGGAATATTTGACATTTTTATAAATCTCATTTATCAATTATCTTTTTATTTTAAAAATATTGCTGCGGTTCTTTTTCTAACTTCTAAAGTTTTTTAAATTTAACATATTTTAAATTTTTTACAAATTTGCATTATTTTATGTAAATTATTGTTTATACTGCACATTTATTTATCGTTTCAAAAATATGCAAAATTTAGTGAAAGAAAAGTCATTATTAAATGGATAGTTCATTACGATGAAAACTTGTCATGAAAATTTATAATAAATGATATAAATAAAGCTATTTTGTAAAAATCACTCCGTATATGCAGTTAATAGATATTTGAGCTATTGCTAAAAAAATGCAAAATATGTACAAAAAATTAAAAACCAATTTTTATATGTTATATTATATTTATATAAAAGCACATATCTTGTTTTCTTTTCCTTCTTTCTCTTCTTTCTTAATAATTCTTCTGACTGAAAAATTATTATATTTTTCGATCTTAAGAAACTATTATTCTCTTTATTTAATAAACGCAATACATATATATATATATATAGTTTTTGTATTCAGCAAATCCACCGCAACTTCACCGCAATTCTTGCCACGTGCAAGTCGCAAAACGCATTTGCGGAAAATCCGTGGTGACGTTGAATTTTCACGCTTTTTTCTACGCGATCAGATATAAAACGTTGCAAAAAATATACACAAATTTTTGTTTTTCTCTTACGGAGCTGTCGTCATTCTTTTTCAGAATGGAGAAAATAACAACCGGAAAATCTGCCGGGACGTGCATTTTGAACAGAATACTGCGTCAGTGTCATTGTGAGTGATGTCGATCAGGACGAGGTATTGTGCATGTATATAATAATATAGACGATTAATTCGCTTCGACACTAAACTCGCGTTTGCAATCGCTTTCTAATGCGAACAAATGGCGTTTATAACATTAATGCCATAATGACAGCATATCAATCAATACATTATATTTTGTGTCAGATACATTCATAGAATAAAGTCTGTAATATAAAACTTTACAAGATAAAGATGCTCTGAAAATAAATTCCAATCCGCGTTGCAATATGATTTATGTCAAAACTTACCCATTGCAGACTTCTTTTCATGGTCGCAACTATATAAAGAAAAGTAATTTGAAATAAGATATTTTGCATTGTAATATCTCGAGAAATATCAATATTATAAAAAATAAAAAATATCAATATTGTATAAAAGATAGATATAGATATAGATTTAAATTAATCGAAAGGAACTTAAAATTCTAGAAAATTAATTAGAGATAGTTTACTTAATGATATTAAATAAATAATTTAATCTAAAAAACTTGAAAATTAATATACAAATTTGTGAAAAACTTATAATAGTTAAAACTAAAGATAATATTAAATTTATATAACAAACTTATAACTTTAAATATCCATTTATAATTTCACAAAATAATTTGGTTTTTTAATTAAAATTAAATTTTTACTTATCTTTTGTATAATAGATTTATATGATATTAAAAATATAAGAAAACTTATAAATAAAATATATCTAATTTAGGCAAATAAGTTTTTTAGTGTGAGAAATTACATATATCAATATTTATTTATTTAAAATTTTATTTTATTAATATTTTTTAATATTAAATTTTGTTTTCATTAACTTTATTAATCTTTTAGTACTAAATTTTCGTTTTTATTTGAGTAGTTTTATTTTGTATATAATTTATATTGTATAAAATAGATATTTACAAAATTTAACTAATTTATTATTTTCTGTAGAATTTTCATTAAAGAAATAAATGTATTTCAAATTCTTCAAAGAATCTGTCTCCAAAATCGCAACTGTTAATATTTAAAATTTCTAGAATATACTATATATCAGATTTATAACAGCAGATGTTCGATATGATATTTATATTTATTTCAAAATCGGATTCTGACAGCCTTGTATAATCGCTTGCTTACCGAGATTTCCAACAATTTACCATTTAAAGGTTAATTAAACGCTTTATCGATCTTCATGTACTCGTCGTGAATACTTCTATCATTGTTAAATTAAGTTGAGTTATGGGTGCTTTTAACCGAGAGGGAAACAAATTTCTTGTTGATCTCGTTATATCTCGTCGATTAACTTATTCATTACAATTTCAATATGGATTATTTCATTATAGTATTAACATTTTTAAGAATATAATCATACTTAAAAAAGTTTTTACATTTTAATGAAATTATTTAAAAAAAAATAAAAATTATTCAAATAAAAATATTGATTTGTTATATTATTTTTATATAGTTTTTATACGTTCCACATAATTTTTAATTTTTTGTTATATTTTGAAAAATGTTTTAAAAATAATGTATTATACAATAGATTTTTAATTCTAGGGTTTTTGAAAATAATAATAATAATATGTATTAAATTTTTAATGTTATTTTTAAAACCTACGCATGAAAAAAACTAAGAGTTTATTATTGTTATAATGAAATATTGCGTGTATGTGTATGCTAGGGGGTGTGTAATCCACGTGTCGAGAGAGTTTCATTAATGTTCTTTGTATCATTAACGGCCAGCATAATGGCTGTGCAGTTTTACACTGCGTGTCATTTGGCCACGAAATTCGGACGAAATTTCTCCTTGGACCGATGATTATACGGTTGGTTTCGACGTATCGACCGTAGCGAGAGAAAAAGGCAAATCGCCGCGGGCTAAAGTAATAATCTTCGCTTTGTGCACGTCGGTTGAAACGTGCATTAAGGCTTTTTGGACGAGAGACAGATGGGAAGGGAAACGCAATTGAATTCGCCACCGCTCAATTTCACCGATAATTGAGGGACACCATTTTCGCTTGACTGCTTTCTGTACATTCGGTGTGCAAGATTTGGCATCAAAATCTCACAATATTTTCTTTAGCACTTCTTTCAGTGTTTCTTTTCACATTACTATTTATTTATATCTTATATTTTTATAGATATTTCCAAATCAAATTTCTCAAAACACGTTAAATAAATTTATATTTTCTTTGTTAAACACAATGTCACAATCTTTTTTATATGATTTTTTATTTTATATACACATTTTATTTTTTCGATTTTTTCTTTTTTTTATTTTTCCATTTCATGTTATTTTTCTTTTATTCTCTTTTTTAAATTTTATTTTATATTATTTTAGTTGATTTTTTTTGTCTCTGCCTGGTTTTTTTGCACTCACCATTTTCGACGTTGAGCTCCGCCGCCGATGCTCTATAAGAGAGCGGTCTTCCGTAATCGCTAGCATCGCTTGGATGCAACAGCAACTGATGCGACGTCCTGGAGTGATGTCTGGAGCCGCTAGAGGAACGGCGCGCGTTTACGCTGTTCAATATCGTGCTGCTGGACGCCCTACTGAGGGCCGCTCTCTGCCTGATCGCCTCCTTGTAGATCTTGCAGTACATGATGATCATCACGATACCGGGGATCCAGAAGGACACGCAGGAACTGATCACCGCGTACGGACGATTCACCACGAACATGCAAATCTAAGAAGCCGAAAGCTTTCAATCGTGCGAAATGTGTAGAATTATATGTTGTCAGTATTTCTTTTTTGAATTATAAGTGCACCATCTAGGGTTTTATGGAAGAAAAAACTTATAGTTTTAGAAAAATTTCTAAATAACTTAGGATTCTAACAATGAAAGGAAGTTCTGCGTAAACTCAATTTCCTAAAAATTGTTAAAAATAGAAAAAAGCGCAATAGATTTAACATACAATTAATAAATCTAAGATTAAACGAATTGAAGATAGATTGAAGATAGATTGTTATCAATAATCTATGAATAAAATTGAAAAGGGAATCATCAAAATTATTAAAGAATTGCTAGAATAAGTCACTAAAGGTTAAAAATTTGAAATGTTTTTATAGGGAAATTTTAGAGCATATGCACTCTTTTAGAAAATATGCTCTCTTTTTTCGCTTCATGTTGATTTGCTTTTTCGTTTTAAGATTCGTTTTAAATTTCTTGTGCTCCTTAGAGACTGCTGTGACACCGCAGCTGATTTATCACTAGAATTCCAATGCTAATAAATTGCTTTTTTCAAGGAAGGAAATAAGTCACACTAATTATACACGATTAATTATAAAGACTTTGAAAATAACATTTTTTTAAACATGATTAATTTTTACTAGCTTTTATATAATTGATTTTCAAACACGATATAGTATTATTGATATAAATTATGATGTGTAATTAATTCCTTTATAATTAAATGATTGATATTATCCGAAATAACAGTTTTTGTAATGACTAGAATTACAAAAACTCAATCATAAAAATATTTTAATTAAAGAGAAGATAAATATAATAATTAATTAGTATTCTATAACAATTAATTTGATGTAATATCTGAAAATTCATTAAATTTTAAATTGATATTGCAAAGAGGAATGTAAATAATTATATCAATACCAGTTAAAGGAATGGTAATACAATACAAATTACGAGAGAATTTAACCATAAAATGTATTAATTGGAGAGAAAATATACAATTTTGTTTGGAAATTCATTAAAAATTCTAATTGATATTTTTGTTGCAAAGAATATTGTAAATAACTACGTTGACGCCAGTTAAGAAAACCATAGTAAATACAAATTACAATACTCAATTGATTTTCCCCCTGTTGAGATAGATATGATATTAATACAGTCAATTGTGAAAATAAAAAAACATTAATTGAAAGTGTATGTGATAAATATAGCGATTAGTTTGATTCTATTTTTGAAGATCAGTGAAAATCCGAATCTCGGTAATTATTACGAGAGAAAGAAAATCGTAACTTATAATAGTTGATAAAAGTTTTGTGAGAGAGAAAAATGAGGTTTAGTATGTCTGGTTTGGCAGTTTTGCGATAATAAATTATATCGAGTCGAAATCAATAGTTCACGGCTCTAATATAAGTAATAATTGATACAAATCACATCATATATAACATTATATATATTGCACTTTATCCTCGCACTATCAAATATGAAATATCAACGACACATATTTTTTTATTTTTACAAATGTGTGTTTCTGTTTTACTTTTATACTTTGCTACTATTCCAATAATTTTGTTATCGAATAATTTTAGATAATTATCTAAATCTTTTTCTATCATAAAAATTTTATACTTTCATATTTACAATACATATAAATTATATTTCAAATTTTTTATTATATAAAATATGTGTATATGTATGTGTATATTTAGAAATTATTCTTTTTTTCAAAATCTATATATCATAGAATTATACAACACATTTGTACTATTCAGTTATTACGAAACCCAAATATTTCTACGAATGAAAAATTTGTTCCGGAAAATAATGATTGAAGTTGATTGTTAATTTTTTCTAAAGTGCTTTGATAAACTCTGTAATATAGATGTTAATTTTTTTATGGTATCTATAGCTCTTAAATAAAATAGTCAATGTCACGAATGTGTCGAGTGAGTAAATTGTAGATAACAGATTAAGAAAACGATATCTAAATTAATAATATAAAATAGGAGTGCAATTAAAACTATAGGAGAATTATATGAGATGATATATATAAAAAAATTAAAAATCTTTTTTATATATATCATCTCATATAATTCGTAAAAAAGAGCGCGATAAGTAACAAATTAAAAGTACTTTAATAAAGTACTTTGATAAATAAAGATTTTCGACGTTTTGCAAAATAATATTTTGATTTGCTCTGAGAGTATATCCGTTCGAGATGTTATTTTATTGATTCTAGATTTCGAAGTAGCAGAAGAACGATATCCGTGTTTCGATAATGAAAATTAATAAGGAAATTGATAAATTTACGCTTTCAAATTATAATTAAATGTCTATAGAATTTTTATAAGTAGAGCAATTTTTTCAAAAAATTTAAATTATTTATTCTCCAAAAGCTTGATAAATTAAAATAGCAAATTATTATCAAATATTGTAATTTAAAGAAATAACATTTTATGAATGATGCGAGGTGTCAATTATGATTAAGAACAAAAGAAAATTGGCGGAATCAAAATAAATCAATACTTTTAAACTTTGGAGTTAAATTATCGCGTCGGACTTCGCTACCTGTGG